CGCGGTTTGGCGGCCGTGAAGTCGAACATCTCCGCATGGACATCATCGCGACGGGGCTGCCGCTGACAACTTGTGACAAAGAGCTTGAGCTCCAAGATTTTAGCGGTTTAGGGTTTAGGGTTTACGGTTTAGGGTTTAGGGTTGATCGGGGGGATACCTGATACTCCGAAGCAATCTTAATCATGACTTGTTTATGGGGATTATGAGGCGTAATAGCCCTGCCTGGCAGGTACTCACAGGAGTCGCAAGAGCCTGCCAATAGCCATCAGAAATCGAAGCACATTGCGCTCAAACCTCCTCAAGCTTGGTTGCCTCAACCCTAAACCCTAAACCCTACACCCGAGATAGACAGGACTGGGGCTCGCTGTCGCCGGATCCAAAGATTCACGACTGCGATGTGCCAGACGCACCCGGGACTTGAGCTTATGTTGCTTTTTCTGATCAGATTCTATTTTTGCCTTCTTGTATCATGAAATTGTTATACTATACTAAGATGTTAGTATATCCGTGTTCATGTTTTTTGTGTTATTGCAGGATTAGACTCTATTGCCAACTTATTATGATAGCATGTTAGTGTTTTTCTTCATTGTTGTATTCTTGTGTTCTTCTACGAGTACTCTTGGCCTACATCCTAAGGTTGGGATGGCTGGGGTTTTAGGATGCGTGGGCCTGTAGGATCTAGGAGAGAGGGAGGTCATCGGGATGGTAAGGTTGAGGGTTAGGGTTTAGGGTTTAAGGTTTAGGGTTTAGGGTTTAGGGTTTAGGGTTTAGGGTTAAAAAAAAAAAGGTTAAGGGTTAAGGCCTGTGGACCAACAAGAGCAGCACCTAGGGAGCTTACCGACTTTCCAGCAGGTCAGGCCCGCAAGCTTACGGTTTGGAGTTTAGAGTTTGGGGTTTAGGGTTTAGGGTTTAGGGTTTAGGGTAGGGTTTCAGGCTTAGGGTTTAGGGTTTCGGGTTGTTGGTTTAGGGTTGAGGAGGTTTCATTTTCCAGGTAGCACCTGTGATTCACGCATGAGCACATGCCTGGTTTAGCGAACTTTGTCAAGAAGCCCTCAGACCTAAATCCCAAGCTTACCCGTAGGCTCAAAGTAGCCCAAAAACCTTGTATAATAAGGCCATTCGGGGCAAAAAAACCTTAAAGAAGAGTTCTTGGAGCCTTAGGGTGAGCTTAGGGTTTCAAACCCCAAGCCCTAAACCCTAAACCCTAAACCCTAAACTTAGTGTTTCTCGTGAGTCGGCAGCGAAGGACATGTCGGACGTGGACTTCTGCGATGTCCCGCCAGGGAGGCGGGAGCTGTCCGAGGATCCGAATGACAGAGCCGCGTCTTGAAAGTCAGTAGGGCTTAGGGTTTAGGGTTTAGGGTTTAGGGTTTAGGGTTTAGGGTTTAGGGTTTAGGATTTAGGGCTAGGGGTTTAGGGGTTTAGGGGTTTGGGGGTTTAGGGGTTTAGGGGTTTAGGGGTTTAGGGGTTTAGGGGTTTAGGGGTTTAGGGGTTTAGGGGTTTAGGGTTTAGGGGTTTAGGGGTTTAGGGGGTTTAGGGGGTTTAGGGGGTTTAGGGGGTTTAGGGGGTTTAGGGGGTTTAGGGGCGGTGAACATGAACAGCTCTTTCCCACTTACCCGGCTGACTGCAAGAGACCTGGATGCAAAAAGGGGTTTCGGGTTTAGGGCTTGGGGTTTAGGGGTTAGGGTTTAGGCGGCCTCAGTCCATGCTTCACAAAAAGCCTGGGATGTTCCCCGTTATGCCAACAGTCCTGAATAGGGATTACAATAGGGGGTACTATGATCCCAGAAAAGGACTGTTAGTAAAAGGGGGAACATCCTAAGGTTTAGGGTTTCGGGTTCTGGGTCTATAGGATTCAGAGATTCGCGGTTTAGGGTTTATAGGGTTTAGGCTTGAGGGTTTATAGGCTTTAGAGGGTTTTGGGTTTATAGGGTGTATACGGTTTAGGGTTGAGGGTTTCGGCTGTTTAGGGTTTACAGGGTTTAGGGGTAAGGGTTTATGCGGTTAGGGTTTATAGGGTTTAGGGTTTGTGGGGTTTAGGGGTTAGCGATTATAGGGTTTTGGGTCGGGTGGCAGAAAGAAAACCTTCCAGAGATGTAGTGGCACGAGCCACCATGGGGGCCGGGGTTTGGAGACTTCCGAGTGTCCACAGATTAGGGGTTTAGGGCTTTCAAGTTGAGGTCAGGGGCTTTGCGGCTTGGGGTACAGAGCTGTGGGTTTGGGATTCAGGTTTCTATGGTGTACGCCACCCGGCGACAACCACGAGACCCGGAATCACGAAAGGGTGCAGGGTGCTAGGCTAGGGCTTATTAGGGTTCAGGGCTTAGGGTGTGCACACACAGTTTTCTTTTGGTGCTCTTGCTGCAGCTGAGGCGAAGAGGAAATACAGTGCTTCAATCAGATCATGGGTGAGGAGGAGGAGCCAGAGGAGGCTGGCAGCACACATCTTTTATAGGGTTCTTCAGAACCCTAAACCCTAAACCCTAAACCCTAAACCCTAAACCCTAAACCCTAAACCCTAAACCCTAAACCGAGAGAGGGCTTCAAGGGGGGTAGGCACCCAGGGAACCTTAGGGACTTGGGGAAGCAAAGGGAATATTGCGGGAACCATTAAAGAAACCCTAAACCCTAAACCCTAAACCCTAAACCCTAAACCCTAAACCCCTAAACCCTAAACCCTAAACCCTAAAATCTTCATGTACTATACGCTGCCCAAGAGACCCATGCTGACGAAACAAGTGGGATGGTACCCCCCCCCCCACCCATGTGGTGTGGTTGTGGGTTGCTTGTTGGGTTTTGGGGTGTAAGGGTTTAGGGTTTGGGGCTTTAAGGTTTAGGGTTCAGTGTTTAGGGGTTGGTGTAGGGGGAGACCTCAAGCTTGGAGGACTTTCCTCTCAACAACAGCCACTTCAACGGCGTGGTCGTGGCCCAGGCAGACTGCAATAGAAACGGCCCTGAACCCCCAAAGAGCCCACCACTTACCACTTGCCCTGAACCCTAAGCCAATGACCCCAACCAAAAATCCTACTCCCCGAAAATCCCAGTTGACCCTAAAACCGTAAACCCTAAACCCTAAACCCTAAACCCTAAAATCCCTAACTTGGTAGCTGAGTGGTACCCTTTTGCCCTTTTGGGGTTTCGGCTTCCCTTACAAAGGTCACCAGCCCCCCCAAAGGGTACCCTTTACTATTTAATGAAGCAGGGTTTATAGGGTTTAGGGTTTAGGGTTTAGGGTTTATATTACTGTTATTGGTGAGTGTATATAAGGCTCCATTTTAATGTTGGTGAGCTACCAAGCTAAGGCAGCTGCAAGATGAAAGGTGTACAGGGCCATCACAATAAGCACTTTCAGGGTCCCCAAAGCCCTGCTCATGAACCTTAACAATAAACCCTAAACCAGAAGCCCTAAACCCTAAACCCTGAAAAAACAACCTATATAAACCCTAAACCCTAAACCCTAAACCCTAAACCCTAAACCCTAAACCCTAAACCCTAAACCCTAAACCCTAAACCCTAAACCCTAAACCCTAAACCCCCCAAAACCCCAAGATCCTTCAACCCCAAGCTCTCAAAAACCCGAACCTGAAAACACCGATACCGTAAACCCCGGAGCCAAAACCCGCAACCCTGAACCCCGGGTTTAGGGTGTGGGGTTTAGGGTTTAGGGGTTTAGGGTTTAGGGTTTACGCCCCCCCCCCCCCCCAAAGCTCCCACCCTAAAACAAACCCTAAACTCCAAAAAACTAAAACCCAGAACCCAGGAGCCCTAAACCCTAAAACCCTAAACCCTAAGCCCTAAACCCTAAACTCCCCTAAACCCTAAACCCTAAACTCCAAAAAACCTCGACCCAGGAGCCCCGGGTTGTCCTTCCACCTCCCTTGATCGAGCGCGCCTGGATCCGGCATCTGCCAACGATCAAGGCGGGGGGCGAGTTCGTGGGGTTTAGGGTTTAGGGTTTAGGGTTTAGGGTTTAGGGTTTAGGGTTTAGGGTTTAGGGTTCATTCCTGGTAGTATAGGGTTTTGAAGGGATGAGGGCTCAGGGTTGGGGGATTAGGATAGGGCGGTCTAGGTTTGCAAAGGCCTAGTGGTGTTCCCTTTGTTCTCCAAGTACCCTATCCCTAAACCCTAAACCCTAAACCCTAAACCCTAAACCCTAAACCCTAAACCCTAAACCCTAAACCCTAAACCCTAAACCCCCCCCAAGAAAACCGAATCCCCAAACGCGGACTATAGACGGAATGCCTCACCTGGTCCGTCCGAGTGCGAGCGGTTCAGCCCAAGCTCCCGCTTGTGCTCCAAGAGCTGACAGCTTCCCACGAACCCTAAACCCTAAACCCTAAACCCTAAACCCTAGGAAGATGGGCAAGTGGGTTGAAGCCCCAAACTCCCGAGCCCAAACTGCTGGTTTCTGCGGAAACGTTGGGGCCATTGTTCGTCTCCCTGGTTCTGGCATGGGTTCCTGTCTAAGAGCAGGTGTAGGGTTCCCTAAACCCTAACCCTAAACCCTAAACCCTAAACCCTTCACCTCACTAGATAGGATTGTCAAGCCGCGGACAGCCAGCAGGCTTTTTCAGCTACAGGGGCTTCACGAGTACCGGTTTCGGCATCAAGCCTTGTTCAAGCCTCCCCTGATGGCCAAATGCCTGCATAGCAGAGGCGATGTTGGCTACTTGTGAATTGTTTTTATATTGTTCTTTCCTAGTGAAGAACCCTAAACACTTTGGGATTCTGGTCTCGACCCTGCCATCCAGTAGCCATGTTGGCTCACGACCAGCCGAAGCATTCTGCTTGCCTCGGCTGTCACAGGTCACAGGGTGTGTGAGCCTAAACCCCCAAGCCCCAAAGCCCCAAAGCCCCAAAGCCCCAAAGCCCCAAAGCCCCAAAGCCCCAAAGCCCCAAAGCCCCAAAGCCCCAAGCCCCAAAGCCCCAAAGCCCCCGAACACGCTACCCCCCAAGTTCGGCGTGGGCAGTCCATTCCTGGAGCCCTCCATTTTAGTGCAATGGCATTTCATGTTGATGTCGAAGCAGAGATTTTCGAGGGCCTTTGGGATATCTCCGATCCGCCAGAGGACGACATCTACTCGCAAGTTTCACCGGATGAAAGCGAGCAGGAGATTCCAGCTGATGTTAGCACGCCCCACCCGCCTGACTCGCAAGCCCCTGGCCACAAGGTGCCGAGCAAATTCGCCAGGTTGTTTTCCAACTCCAGAAGGTGGACCATTTCCGCTGCAGAGTTCTGTTGCAAGGTCCTTGTGCCGGCCTACAGTGCAGGAGCAGTGATCGGCAAGAGGGGAAAGAACCTGATGAAGCTCCAACAGCGGACACAGACAATGATGACCGTGTCTGCTACCCATGTCTTTTTTCCAGGTGGGCGTGTTACGATATCAGGGTACCTGAGGGGGGTCCTTGTTATCAGGGACTCCTACTATTTGGGGTTCTCTTGTAGGGTCCCTATGTTCGTAAGCCCCCAGGTACACGAGACCGCATGCTCATCATCCTGGCTGCGACAAAGAGAAGCTTCGCCGCTGGTGTGCACGCCGTCGTCACGGAGGCAATGAAAAGATCCCCTGACCAAGCGGCCATTCAGCTGGTGGTGCCCAGCTCCTTAGGGGTACTTGGAAATTGTTCTTAATTGTTGGATAGTATAATCACCAAGAAGCAGCTGAAAACTATAGTTTTTGCTAGGGTTCCACGTTCAGTATAGGCTCCTCTGCTGGCAAAATCATGGGGCAGGGTGGCGCGAACATCTGCGAGATACTTTGTAGCCGAGTGAGTACACTTTGCACTTTTGGGGATACATCCCCTATAGATCTGACTATAATCACCTATAGAACTCAAAGTGAACACGTTTTTTTGGGGGCTTATGAACTCAGCAACTAACCCTAAACCCTAAAACCTAAACCCTAAACCCTAAACCCTAAACCCTCAACCCTCAACCCTAAACCCTAAACCCTAAACCCTAAACCCTAAGTTAAGGATACGCAAAGCCACGGGCTGCCACATCAGCATGAGCCCACAGAATCGCGGCGTCAATGAGCGAGTCGTCCTACTGAAGGCCTGTACGGACATCTTCCTGGTGAGAGGACCACTATTGTTTAGGGTTCAGGGTTCAGGGTTTAGGATTTTTAGGGTTTAGGGTTCAGGGTTCAGGGTTTAGGGTTTAGGGTTTAGGGTTTAGGGTTTAGGGCTTTTGCTTGAGAACCCGAATATAAAACAGAGGACATCTTCCTTCTGCGAGGACTACTCTTCGCTTAAGAACCCCGAGAGAATAAAGAAACCATGTTAACCTCCAGTTCCCCTAGGTACTGGACAACTATCCACTATTTGCTTAAGAACGCCAGAAGAAAAGAAGATAATCGTCCCTATGTTACCCTGAATAAGGAGGATTATTGTTTATTTGTGGGGGGGGGGGGGGGTTCTGAAGCAATTGGTGTGAGGAGCCGTGTCTGTTCTGGAGTGCATCCAAGACGACCCGCAGATCCAAGAGCACATGAGCTTCAAGTATGTGGTGGCGCTTCCGCTTGGTTCCTTAGTGGTAGAGTCGGTAACCTTTAACCCTTTCGGGGTAGCAGAAGCCCGGGCAATCCCCAAAAGGTTAACCTTTAGTTCCCCTAGGTCATGGACAACTAACTACTATTGCTTAAGAACCCCCAAAAGAATATAAGATAATCCCTAAATGTTCCCCAGTCCTAATATACCTGTTTTCGCTACTGGACAACTCGAAGGTTCTTGGGATTGTGGCAAGCCGGGCCCAGCTGAACCAAGCGTGGAGCTGATGCCTTTGGAGTTGGCCAGAGTCTCGCCGAAGCGGCCAATCCTGGAAAACCTGCTCAGGGCCGCGCCGAGACACTTCGTAGCAGAGTAACCTGAACTTTTTTGGGGCATTCGAATCCCTATACAATCCCAAAGGTTCACCTTCAATCCCCCCGGTTCCTGGACAACTAAGGAAAGCTCTTGATCCGGCATGGCGTGCTGGGTGGTAGCATCGAGAAACTTGGCTTTCTCCTGGCTGGCTCTTAGGACTTTAACTTTTTGGGCTTTTCTAGAAACCAAAATAAGGAGCCTAAGAGTTAAAAACTTTCAGGAGGGGTTCAGAAGTCAGCCAAGGGTCCATCTACCTTTATCGTATATATTTGGTCCAAAAGGGATTACATAAGGACTATAGGGTTTATCGGGTTAATGGGGTGTTTAGGGTTCAGAAGTCAGCCAAGGAAAGTTCTCAAGAGGACGACTCGGGAGGAGCTTCTGGCTGTGTTGGCGGAGGCCTGGGGCAGCATCCCCAAACAGAAGCTAGGCAGGCCTTTTAAGCGACATTTTTGGATTTTCCCCTAATTGGGTTTTAAGAGGATCATATTTAGGAACATTTTGTCTGAGGGTTACCCTAAACCCTAAACCCTAAACCCTAAACCCTAAACCCTAAACCCTAAACCCTGAGGGCCATCCTAGGAACGGGCGCGCGGACTCTCCGAACGAAGGACTTGCGTCCGGCGCGCTGCGGCAGGCGCTTCCTGTCGGACTCCAGCCGTAGTGTCGCTTGGGCATCCACGGTCGTCAGTTCACTTGGCTAGTTTAGGGTTTAGGGCTTAGGGTTTAGGGCTTAGGGTTTAGGGTTTAGGTTTAGGGTTTAGGGTTTAGGGTTTAGGGCCTTAGTGTTTCAGGGTTTTGGGTGCAGCGCAGACAGGATTGCTAGCTTCAAGCACGGCTTGAGCACAAGATAGATCGCAAGCGTGTGATCAACTCGAGCCGTGCCCCCTTTTTTCAAACTAGCACTTGTTGGCCCTGTATGGGACACACGTCTCACTTGCTTCGATAGTTTCTGGCGACTTTCCTCCGGATGCGAGAGACTTTGGACCTTGCCTTGCCAGCCATGTGCGAGTGCGAACATCGAACCCCTAAACCCTAAGCCCGTAAAACCCTAAACTTGGGATGTTCCCCCTTGTCCTTAATCGACCTTTGGGCACCGCTATCATCATCCCTTTTCAGGACTGCTAGTATAGGGGGGAACATCCCAACCCTCATCCCTAAAGCCACAAACCCTAAACCCTAAAGCCCTAAGCCCTAGACCGCGGCAGCCGACCTCCCGAAAGCCAGGAGTACTTCATGAAGCTGGGCGAGACTGAGTTCATGAAGAGGCAGTACATACATCGGGTTTACCTATTGCCCAAAGACTCCAAGAAGTCTTATTTGTAAATAAGGGTTTTTGACCTTAAGATATAAGGTTTTTGGGTTATGTTGAGCCGAAGCGTCAGGGTTTAGGGTATATCTTGATGCTTACTTACGTCAAACCTCAATGTTTGCATGTATATGTTGCATCCCACTCACATCTATGTGTGACTTCGCTGCTTCGCACTTACAGTTGTCAAAACCTATGTAAAACCCTATGTACTTCATCTTTACAGTTCTGTGAAGGTCGTGCAGTTTGTACATTTTGTTGAGCACGCCGGGCGGCAAGAGGGGGTTGCATTGCTTAAACAAAGCTTTGGCGGATGGAGGACATCAGTACCCTAAACTCTCAACCCTAAACCCTAAACCCTAAACCCTAAACCCTAAACCCTAAACCCAGTCAATGCCGAAGGCTGCAAGTTCACCACCCACCTGTTTTTAATGCACCGGCAAGCAAGCCTGCGTCAACGGTCTGGAACCATACGTTGGGAAGTTCCCCCTTATGCTAACGGTCCTTAGTAGGGATTATAGTGGGGGGTATTATGATCCCCATTAAGGGCTGTTAGTCTAGGGGGGGCCCTAAACCCCAAACCCTAAACCCTAAACCCTAAACCCTAAACGTCTCAAGTTCCAAACGTTGCAATCGCATTCACTCAATCCCTCAGAGGGAGTGGAGCGAATGTGGAGGGCGACAGAGTCTCGGTCCCCGAGTCGGCCCTTGTTGCCCTTTTTTGGGGTTTAGGGTTTAGGGTTTAGGGCGTGCCAAACGGGAGCGCGCTTTGGGAGCGCGCGGTAGTCTGCAGACCTACCCACCCCAAGACCGCCCACTTACAACTCTCAAGAAGTTAAGACCTTTTATTTTTTTACAAGCCATCACATGAGTCAGCACTCACGCCCTTATTTTTGGGGATTTCCACGAAGACAGCCTGGGTTGGCGCGAAGGGGCTATGAAGGGATGGGCCAGGAACGAAAAAAGGCAGCGAGGCTTGGTTGGCGCGAAGGGGCTCCAGCCAGGAAGAACACACAGTGAACAGCTTGGGTTGGGCAGAGCGCCACGGAAACAGGGCTGGTGTGGCGGATAGCTTGGCTTGGCGCGAAGGGGGTAAGGTGGGGTGCCGGGCCAGGGTCAGGATCAGGCACAAAGTTGCAGCAAACGGAAGCGAAGCAATACAGATTGGGTTGGCGCGAAGGGGCTAAAGCCAGGGAGAGCGCCCCCGAAAAAGGACACAAACTGGTGCGCGGGGGGTAAGATGATTCGAACAGGCCCGGTCAGGGTCAAGGGGCAGAGCCAGGGCAGGCCGGACCAGGGCCAAGGGGAGGGCCAGGGCCAAGGCCAGGGCCAGGGCCAGGGGCCAGGCCAGGGATTAGCGGCATGTTCTGGCTTTGCCGCCGGAGCAGAGCCAGGGCCAGGGCCAGAGCCAGGGCCAGGGCCAAAGCCAGGCCAGGGCCAGGGCCAGGGCCAGGGCCAGGGCCAGCGCCAGGGCCAGGGCCAGGGCCAGGGCCAGGGCAGGCCCGGCTCAAGTTAGCGGACTTTTTTGGCGAGAGTCTTGCCTACCCCAACAAAACGGCCCCTGTTCCCCGCAGCCCAGCGGACGGGGGTTGGGGACCCAGGGGTCTCCAGGGGCCTTCCCAGGGGGCCTCCAGTGCAGGACCCAAGAATGTGCGCGGACAGCTTGGGTTTAGGGTAATATAACATATTTCATGCAGTGACAACTGCTGTCTCGGCCTGTGCCTGCCTGGAGGGTAGGCCTGCCTGGAGGCCAGCTCGGTCGCCCGCCTGGGGCTCCCTCGCAGGGTCTCACTGAGCGCTCGACCAGCGCCCGCCTACCCCAAAACACAAGAGAGTGGGGTGGCGGGCGGGTTTAGGGTTTAGGGTTTAGGGTTTAGGGTTTAGGGTTTAGGACTAAGAGTCGGCCCTTGTTCCCTTTTTCAGGGTTTCTCTTGGGTCACCCTAAACCCTAAACCCTAAAGCCTAAAGCCTAAACCCTTGCTATCCCTAGGTTTTCTTGGGTCTAGGAGTCAGCCAGAGCGAGGGAGCAGAGAGGGAGAGGGAGGGAGGGAGGCAGTCGCCATCGCTAGGGCCATCTGCCCAAGCCCTAAACCCTAAACCCCAAACCCCAAACCCCAACCCCTAAACCCTAAACCCTGATGCCCCCTGAAGGATTGCAGAACCTCCCGCCTGAGAAGAAGCGCCTTGCTGTGCCCTTTCACGATACAGTGTAGATTAAGGGTTTAGGGTTTACGGTTTAGGGCTTAGGGTTTAGGGTTTACGGTTTTTCAGGCGTTGAGGAAGCGGAACCAGGTCATCACCCAAGCCCTAGCCACTTTTCATATCAACCCTCAACCCTATAAACTCTAAACCCTAACCTCTTAGAAGCCCTATATCCTAAACCCTCAGCCCTAGACCCTATAACTCGATAAACCCTAAACCTAAACCCCTTAAATGATCTGCCGCCGGCTTGAGATGTCTACCACTTTCGGGGGTGTACCTGTCTTCGCCAAAACCGGTTTAGGGCTTCGGGTTCAGGATTCGGGTTTAGGCTTTCGGGTTTAGGATTAGGGCTTAGGGTTTAGGGTTTAGGGTTTAGGGTGCCCCAGCCACCCAACACATGTAGTGTGCGTTGAGCTTCTACAGCCCCACAGAACATATAAATATATAAGTATATATAAATATAAATAATGAATAAATAAAAATATATATATATATTTATTTATTTATATTTATATTTATATTTATATTTATATTTATATTTATATTTATAACTGCTCACCTCTCCCACGTGGGCCCCAAAGCCACTACGTAAAGACACCCTCACTCCCTCAAAAAGAGAAGTCAGCCGTGAATTGTTGGCTGCTTTTTTTGTCACCCTTTTCACGGTAAAGGTTCCTTCAATAGGAATTGCAGTGGCACAGCTTCACGATACAGCTGCGCTTATGAGGGCATAAAAGGGGCATTCTGGCGACAGGCAATTTCCGATCTGACGTCTTTCTTCTTCTGGTGGCACGTCCGAAGGACATGAGTGGTTGTGGCGGAATGTGTACCCCCCCCCCCCCCCCAACCCCAAACCCTAAACCCTAAACCCGAGACAGAAAAGAAGAACACCCTCGGCACCCTCGACAAAAAGAGCAGAGGTCATAAACAAAGTATACATTTTTCCCTCTCCGCCACTCAAATAGTCTGAAATCACTGAAAATCAGAAACAAGTGTCTAATATATCTATGTCACATATATGACATATGTAATTACTCGATACACAGATTCATACATGTTTTCGAACCAAAAGCCAATCGACACAAGACGAACCCCCCCCCCCCCTCCACGGCCCTCCACTGGCTAGTTCTGAGTAGGGAGTGTGATGTGAGGGAAGTAGGGCCCTATATGATCCCTAAACCCTAAACCCTAAACCCTAAACCCTAAACCCTAAACCCTAAACCCTAAAGGGATCCTTCAGGTCCTTCAGCTCCGCCACGAACCGAAGGGGGGCCGCGTTTCAGCCCAGCACTGCTGCTTCTGAAGAAAGGGAGCGGCAGAGGCTGCAGGGCGCTAAACCCTAAACCCTAAACCCTAAACCCTAAACCCTAAACCCTAAACCCTAAACCCTAAACCCTAAACCCTAAACCCTAAACCCTAAACCCTAAGCCCTAAGCCCTAAGCCCTAAGCCCTAAGCCCTAAACCCTAAGCCCTAAACCCTAAACCCTAGACCCTGGACCCTAAACCCTAAACCCTGGACCCTGGACCCTGGACCCTAGACCCTAAACCCTAGACCCTAAACCCTACCAACACTGTTCCAGGGATGTCCCGAATACCCCTTGGTTTTGGAGCCCTAAACCCTAAACCTGATGGTTTTGAGTTTGCCCGAAGGGCCCACTCGAAGGCTTGGGTGCACTAAGGCAGTTTAGGGTTTGGCGGGGGGGGGGGGGGGGGGTAGGGTAGGGTTGAGGGTTGAGGGTTTAGGGTTTAGGGTTTAGGGTTTAGGGTTTAGGGTTTAGGGTTTAGGGTTTAGGGTTTAGGGTTTAGGGTTTAGGTATTTTGCGGTTTTAAGGTTTTGGATGTTAGGGCGAACATAGGGCCACACTGCAGACTACTGACTTTACAGCAGCTCAGCTCCCTTCTCCCTTGCCACCTAGAATGCTTAGAGTATAATGTGTACAGGGACGTATGCACCAGTGTCAACAACAAATGTAATATTGAAGGACCCTAAACCCTAAACCCTAAACCCCAAACCCCAAACCCTAAACCGGCCCGAACCTCCCCCCCCTGTATGAGGGACCAGGATGCAGCTTTTCTTAAGAAATCTTCCTTGAATAAGTTCATGGCACTACGTACTATGATTTAGGGAAAGCTTCTTAAATAGCGCTACTGA